TAGCACTCAAGCTCATCTGTGCTCTTTTTTAGAGTTCCCCATGTCAAGCTTTGGGACTTCTTAAATTGGTGGCAGTGGTGCAGACAGGGATAAGCGTAGTCTGGAATATTTAAATTACATAACTACAGCCTTGTAGATACAGTCAGAAATTATTTGCTACTCCATAATTTTGTCATTTGGCAATACTAAGACATGATAACATATGGTTTGCTCTTTGGAGTTAATGTAAATGTTGTTATTTGACTGAAATAAAGAATTCTCTTATTCCACAAGGGAAACTGTTTTAGGATGTGTGCACATTCGTTTATCTTTTCACATGAGGGGAAGCATCCCATTGCATCATTATGCATAACTCTCTGAGTTTGGGGTTTAGTGGATTGGAGGATGTGGCTGAGCCCCCCCCAACTCGTGCAGTCTGCATTCCTAGCTGCAGCAACCCATTTCATTGGTGTTAAAAAAGAACTTTGAAGAGTGTGCTCTGGCTGAGCACGAACAGGGGTCAGAAAATAATTTGTGTAAATTCATTTGTCGGGTCATCTACTTCATTATGTTTAAAGTTGAAAAAATGTAACTTGTTTTCTCTGCCTGCAATATATTCAGCATCTCTCCTTCCATTTTAAAGCTGAAGGTAATTTACAGATTAAAAATCATTTTTCATTTTTACTGCAGGGATTTCTTCCTGCTTATACTTTCATCTTTCTTCTTTTCCCCTGACTTTCAGAAGTTTTCACTCTAGTCCTGAGATATCTTTTTTTTTTAAGCTGAAAAATGAAACTTCAAAAGATTTAATTTCTAGAACCATCAAGTCACTACTCTCTCAGAATTATTTGGTTTGTCTTTAACAGTGCCCATGTCTTGGGGCAAAGAAAGTCTCTCAGAAAGAGTTAATTTGCGATCTCAGCCTCAACAGAGGCTAATTCTCAGGAGAGAATTGAAATTAGCAGGAAGTGTCCTCCCTTTAGAGTAAACTCCTCGTGTGCCACTTCTTACTGTAGGGTGGACATCCCTTCTACCCCGGGCGAAGGGCAGTGGCAGCTGTAAGACAGAGACCAAACACTGTTTATTTTCCTTCCAAGGTCCTGGACTTTGGCAGTTAAAAAATGTGCCATCCTATGATTTTTCCCCACCTGTTTATTTTTTTTATTTTACAATAAATACATAAATAAAATTTTTGAAAGAGATGAGAAGGAAGAAACCAACCACTCAGGAACTGGCTAATTGATGCCTTTGCGTTGTGATTATGCTTTAATTTTACTTGGACTAATAGAAGCTATTTCTTCCCAATGATATTTTAAAATTGAGCTGCACGTATGAAATAATTTGCTTCCAAGAAATATTGCCATGTTATGTTCTTAGTTCTTAACCCCAAGTGAAGTTGATTATTTTATTCTTTTATCCCCCTCCCCCCAGAAGTGAGTCCGTTAATTTCTTGGGTAGCAAATCAACACCAGGATCAAGTATCAGTATCAAAAATATTCATTGCCTTGTTATGTGTGAATATACATTTTGAAAACAACAAGGAATGCTTTTGGCTCCACCTTTACATTTTTGCTGTCAGTTCAGCATCTAAGTTTAAATGTCAAATACTTCTCTTTCATCTTATAAGGAATCTAGTTATTCCAATATTGAGCAATAGCAGAGAAAATGTTGGATAAAAGAAAGTGGTATAATGAACAAGGATGAAACCATAGGGTGAAGGGGTGGTAGCTATAATGTCAAAGAAAGTACATCACTGAGCACCTCTGCTTATGCAGCGGTTCTCAACCTGTGGGTCGCGACCCCTTTGGCGGTCGAACGACCCTATCACAGGGGTCGCCTAAGACCATCCTGCATATCAGATATTTACATTACGATTCATAACAGTAGCAACATTACAGTTATGAAGTAGCAACGAAAATAATTTTATGGTTGGGTCACAACATGAGGAACTGTATTTAAAGGGCCAGAAGGTTGAGAACCACTAGCTTATAGGATACCCCTGAGGAGATTTCTAAACCACCCTATCACAGGGGTCGCCTAAGACCATCCTGCATATCAGATATTTACATTACGATTCATAACAGTAGCAACATTACAGTTATGAAGTAGCAACGAAAATAATTTTATGGTTGGGTCACAACATGAGGAACTGTATTTAAAGGGCCAGAAGGTTGAGAACCACTGGCTTATAGGATACCCCTGAGGAGATTTCTAAACATGTGACCCTTAACTCCAGAGTTCCAGGTGAAAATTCTTTCCTGATGTAGACCTTTCTGGGAGGGAACTTTTCACAATTTATTGGTCAACCCTTTCAGAGCCTTTGCAGAAAATATTTTGTCTGCCCTGGTTTGTGCCATATTTAGATCAGTTTGGGAAGTGAAGAAATTCAAGTGCCCAAAACTTTCAATAGGAGTCTGCCATTTTTGAAACTCAGCTTTGATCTGGAACCGTTGCACCGCATTTTCCAGACATTCATCTTCCAGAATTTCAAGTCCAGGAGTTGGTTGTAGTTTGATTTTACTTCTTTGAGACACAGCTTGAATGCCTCCATTTGATTTTGTGCTTTCAACACATTTTTGCGATCTGGTGATTGGGAAGGCCTGTACCATCTGGTCTCGATAAGGTGATAGATTTTCATATCTTGGGAATTGGCAGGAAAGGGTAGCAACTGAATGAGAAGTGAGAAGGGGAAAGTTGAGAATTTGGGCTTAACTCATTAATCTCATGATATGTCTTTGAAGACCTCTGATTCTCGTTAAATCGCTTTTTGTGAGGAACTGTGTTTGGGGTGTGTGTGTGTGTGTGTGTGTGTGTGCCCATCGCACAGAGATAATTCTTTTAAATTGTCTTAAAAGTCGAGACCCTCCTTTTATAAGCAATGCCAGTTAGCATTTCTTGATCAACTCTTCATAAAATACCTCAGATTGGAGTCAAAGGGGGCCCTGCTTCACCTTTCTTGAAAAAGAGATTGTATAGAAAGGTATGGGCCGAGCGGGCAGGTGCAGTGAAATAAAGTGTAGCAGGACACATTTTGATTTGGGAATGGATGGTTTTTAGAGGACAAGATGCAACAATACAATAAAACAAAGCCAGATAGATATACCAAGAAGGTTAAAAAAAAAAAAGCCGCCCTTGCAGCAGCCTTGCAAAAATCAAATAAACAAAAAAACTTAAAAAAGAACAGCGTGTCTTATGCGGTTCCCAGCGGCGGGAGAGGGCAGCGAAGGACTTTCCTTATCTCACTGAGAATTCCGACCCGAGGCCTGGCGCGGCACCGGCCTGTGTGCGCACCTCGCCCAGGTGGGGACGGGCTCGGCTTCCT